GTGGAGAAGTATTCTCTACAATGGAATGGCAACACGGCAGATTTAGTGGTACTTTTAATTGGAATATTAATGTGTAACGATTAATTGGTTTAATGGGTTTAATTGTTGTTGTGGTGACCGTGTTCGAAAGCAAAGCAATCCATGCTAATCACTTGTGATGTGAGGATACGTGGAATCACGTAAATTTAGCGAAAATCATCATCATCGTCGTCATCATTATCATCATCATCATCATCGTTAATATCAACATCATTATCATGATTACCGTTAATGTCATCATCATCATCATCATCATCATCGCTAATATCATCCTCATCGTCATCGTCATCGTCATCACTTTATTTCAATATGACTAATTAAAAAAATTAATGAGATAATTACTTTTAATTGATAGAACCACTTAGATATCTTTTGGTGTCTGGCGCAAGATAAATTATCACTATCCGTAACACACACACACACAACACACACACAACACACACTCACATTCACACACTCACACACAACACACACACACAACGAGACTCACATTCACACACAAAAACACATACGTATATACATTCAAAAGAAATACGTCCATCCATCCGTACATACACAAATACACATGATGTACAGTTGTGTGTGTATGTGTGTGTGTGTGCTGTGTGTGTGTGTGCTATGTGTGGTGTGTGTATATGTGTGTGTTTGTGCATGTGGGTTTTTCTTCATCTTTCATCTGCTAGATTAATTCATTTATTTAGTTACTTCGCCATTCATTAAGCAAACAATTCATTCTATCAATTTGTTTTTTTTTGTCCTTTTATTTTATTCATTCAGTAATCTATCTATCTTTCTATCTGTCAAGTGTTTCATTCGTTCGTTCATTTGTTCATTCATTCATTCGTTCGTTCTTTCTTTCGTGCGTTCGTTCGTTCGTTCGTTTGTTCAATCATTCATTCGTACTTTTGTTCATTCGTTCATTCGTTCGTTCATTCATTCATCCTTCCGTGCATGTCTCGCAAAACATATCATGGTAACTATTTGCTTCAAGGTGGCAAATATATTTTCCCGCTAATTGTCTTGCGTGCATTTTGTATGTATGTATGTATGTATGTATGCATGCATGCATGCATGTATGTATGTATGTATGTATGAATGTATGTATGTATGCATGTATGTATGTATGTATGTATGAATGTATGTATGTATGTATGTATGTATGTATGTATGTATGTATGAATGTATGTATGTATGCATGTATGTATGTATGTATGTATGAATGTATGTATGTATGCATGTATGTATGTATGTTTGTATGTTGGACTGTACGTTAGGTATGTTTGTATGTATGTATTAATTTGTGTAAGTAAGTTTGTAAATATTTCACATCTCCTTTTTAGTTTAATTTGAGTTCGATAGTGGCTCCTTCATCTGATATATAGTTCATATCAACCAGGACTGAATTAATGTTCCTTCTCAATTAAATGTCATCTAGGTAGATAAGCAATCACCAAACATGACTTCAAAGAATTAACCAGACTGTTAATTGCCAGCAATGCGATTGCAAACAACGATGGGCCCATGGGGTCACCCTGCTGAACCCCCTCGGCTGATTGGATGTCAACACTGAAAAAATTTAACTTTGGAGTGAAGTCATAGACCGATCGGCAAAAATTATATATTTCAGGAAGAGATAATTTTACGCAGTTCAATATATGATCAAGTCTGAGCGAATTGAAGGCGTTCGAAAAATACAGTTTTAGTAAACATTCGTCATCTCTTATATGATCCGTAAAACTTCAAACACAATGGATTACCCCTTCAGCTCCCCCAACCCCATCGTGCTGTGACTGAAAAATTGGCTAAACCTTGTTTTTTAATTGCTGCTAGTGCACACACTTTGCAGCGAGACGTCTCCATAGGCAGCTGATAGCAATTGGTCTTATACCGCCATCCTTTTTCGAAAACGCTACCTGTCTTCCCTGGAAAAGGTAAGGTGCAACAGAAAGTTAATGAAAGCGGAAATGCCGGTGATGAGGTCCGATGAATCGGTCTTTGAGGAAGTCTTAATATCTATAAATGGCTCCAGATAGTCTGCCATTTTTTCACTGAGCAGTTGGAGAATTCATCAGTTCTTTGGTTAACACGTGGTTAATCAGTTCTTTGGTTAACACGTTGGCTTTTCCCCAAAACCATGGCAAGCAGAAATAACAGCCTGAACCAAATTGTTCATAGATTTGATTTTTCACTAACTTCTTTAAGCTGTTCACATAACAACTGACCAAATTTTAACCTAGCTTGCTTTGAGACGTGGCCATTCAGCCGAAATTTAGCAGATTTCCCGAATACTCATCTGCCAAATTGATTTTGGGTCTTGGCAATCTTGGCCGACAAGTTTTCTGAATGATTACCCAATGATTTTTTTTTATACAAAGAAGGAGGTTTCATAAGAGAGCAGGCACTGCGGAGCCTTTGCTGTTGCCCCCAAGTCTTACAAGGGCTCCGTCTGCAGGTGAACTGAAATGTTTAGAACAATTTTGACATTGTATTATATTGTATATGTATTATATATATATATATATATATATATATATATATATATCATGCATGTATATTTTGAATACATGTTTGTTTGTATGTATTATTGTATGTGTGCATGTATGTACGTATGTTTGTATGTTAAAACCAAATCATTGACGAATGACACCAAAAGCCAAGCGTCTGGCTAAATTTGATTTTATTTGCTCTAACGTCACTCAACCCCGTCGGCATTCAACTCCATATTTTGCAACACGCAGACGCGCAAAAACCGCTGCAGAATGCTCGAAATATTATTCATAGCGAAAAAATATTCCCTACTATCGCCTGACCTAATACTGATATGTTTACAAATCCGATTGAAAAACCCGGAGGTGTTACGGTCCATGGGGCCGAGCACCTCGATACAAATCGGTAAAAACTCCATCGAGGGGAGAGATCCGTCATACTTCTTGATCTTCTCGTCAGATGCCCTGGTTGCAGCCAAACCGCTTTCTTTGCTAGTAAGCTGCACGTAGCGCTCAGCAAAGGTGCCCGGAACAGTAACGTCCCACGCCAAGCACCTGCCGGCTCTCCAAAGAATCAAGGTACACCCGTCAGGGCGCTTACCGTCGTGCGCCGCAATGCCCGACGGTTCCTTTAAAACCGAAATTGAGGCCTTGGAGAAAAGCCGGCACACAAAATCGTTTATGGCTGAATGTCGCTGCTGGCGACCTCCGCCCAAACGACAAACAAGACCATGATGGCCGAGTTCATCCGCCTCCGCGCCGCACCTGCATGTGTATCGACTCTGAACGGCCAACCCCAGCCGGAAACCAATGGCTGTCCTGACCGTTTGTATGTATGTATACATTAACACTTTTATGATTGCATGGTTTTTAGGTATGTTTTTATGCTCTTGCGTATGTTTGTTTATGCCTGGAAGTTTTTTCTGTTTGTGTTGTATGTATGTTTGTGTTGTATGTATGTTTGTGTTGTATGTATGTTTGTGTTGTATGTATGTTTGTGTTGTATGTATGTTTGCATGTTGGTTTGTTTGCATGTATACTTTTATGTTTGAATGTTTTTTCGTTCAGTTTACCGTAGTTTACGAATGCATTGTTTAAGTATTTTCGGTGCATGAGCGCATGGCTGGAAAAATAAATACGTCCGCTATGGTTAATTAATTGAATAGTAGTTAAAAATGAATGAATGTACTTGTGTGTGTGTGTGTGTGTGTGTGTGTGTGTGTGTGTGTGTGTGTGTGTGTGTGTGTGTGTGTGTGTGTGTGTGTGTGTGTTAAAAAGTTTTTCTTATCTTAATTTGACAAAGTACATAAATAAAATTTGTTCATGCAATTAATTTTTTTAATTATTCATCCATCCACTATTGAACTTTTTTGCGTTCGATCATTCAACCGTTCGATTGCTCGTTCTTTTATTTGTTCATTCCTATATTCATTCATTCGTTCGTCCGTTCGTTAGTTCGTTCATTCATTCATTCATTCATTAACTTGTTCATCTCTCCATCCATTTATCCGTTAATATATTAATTAATTCATATATATTAATTAATTCATCCATTTGTCCATTCTTTCAATCATCTGTCTATTCAATCATCCACTCATCCATCCATCCCTCTATTCATTCATTTATTCATTCATTCATTCATTTATTCATCCATTCATTCATCTGATCATCATGCTCACCTTGCTTTCTCTCTTATCAACACTTCAATCATTTTTTTATACAATGACAACAAAAACCAACTTCCATCTTTATTACCAGTCATTTAAATTACAATACATTAATTAATTATAATTCATTAAGTAATTAATTAATCAATCAATTAATTAAACTTGATTTTTATTAATTTTATTCGATAAATTTGAAGTCAAGAAAAAAATTGTGATTAAAATTTTTTTTTATTATTATAAGTCGACAAGTTGGATAATCTATAATATAATAAATTAATTGACAAGTTGGTAAATGAACGGATGAACAAATGAATGAATGAACAACCGAACTAATGAATAAATGAATTAATGAATGAAAAAAAAAACATAAAAATACATGAAAAGATGAACGGATGAATGAACAAATGAACAAACCGAACGAATGAATTGATTTATTGAAGATTCATAAAAAAAACAATTAATTAATTAATTAATTAATTAGCTAATTATCTACTGATTAACATCTACACAGTTAGCATGTCATAATTGTCAATGTATGGATCGTCTTTTACTCCATTGCCCTAAACACAGAGTTGATATATATATATATATTGGAGTGCTAGCCGAACTCTCTACATGGGATTCTAATACATAAACATATATATATATATGTGTATAAATATATATATATACACATGCGTGTGTGTGAATGTGTATGTTTATGTGTGTATGTGTGTGTATTTGTACGTCTGTGCATGTGTGTGTGTATGTGTATTTGTGTGAATGCATGTGTGTGTGTGTTTTTGTGTGTTGTGTAGTATCATATTATAAATGTGCATTACGTATAAAACTAAATTATATATATATATATATATATATATATATATATGTATATATATATTAATTATTATTAATATATATATATTTATGCATGTGTGTGTGATTTTATATTGCACACATGAGCCTATTGAATTAGCCATTGTGTTAGATGTACACGCCAAATGACCATTAAAAATTTTTCAATTTTTTTGAAAACATTCATAAAAATGGCCATAAATTTATTATGTATAAACATATATATAAAATATATAATGTATAATTATATAGTGTATATATATATATATATTTCATTAAACGCGATGCTTATATTATTGTTATTTAATTTTTTATTAATAAGAAAAATAGAAAATCTTAATAAAAGTTAAATAACAATAATATAAGCATCGCGTTTAATGAAAAATGCTTAAATGAAAATTTGTTACCGAAATTTACTGATATATATATATATATATATATATATATATATATATCAGATTTCATTGAATATTTTTGCCTACTTCGCGTTAATTAACTTTTTAAAAATACACTCGACGATATGGAATTGTTGTAAATCGTATTTATTGAGAACTAGTGACATAATTTGGCTGGCTAACGACATTGTTTCGGTGTAAACACCTTCTTCCGAGCCTGGTATGAGATACAATTGTTAAATTAAATGGAAATCATATGAAATAAAATAAAATACAATAGTACCTAAAATGTTACGTGTTGTAGTTTAAAACAGGCAAAATGAAACATAATATTATATGAATAAATAATTTGAAAAGTTACATTAAAAGCAAAATTTTACCTTGTAATGAAGATGAAATTGAATAATTAGGGAATAAGTTATAGTTTAACATTAAAATAAATAAATAGATACACATTCACGTAAAACAACTAGAGTGATTTAAAATAATACAGTAATATAATATAATAAATAATAATAGTAATTTTACGTACTATTGTATTGTATTTTATTTTATTTTATATCGTTTACATTTCCATTTATTTTAATGTTTGTATGATATCTCATACAAGGCTCTGAAGAAGGTGTTTTTAGAACGGAAAATTAGGAATTACCTAAACAAAAAAGTTTTTTTTTGAAATGAAATGAACTATTCTTTTAGATATTATAGCAACTAAAAGTGGTGTTGTACTTAAGTCGCACACATGGGAATGTTCATCAAGTAGGTAGGTAGGTAGGCCCTCTAAAACTTGAGAACCACCGACTGTTTTGTTCAACTAGTTAATCTTGTACTCCTTACGACAGAAAGTTTATTATTATAATTTTGGCTGCCATTTTTTAAATTAGGGCTCGTCCGAGTTGATTTTCTAAAGAGTTTCTGAAATTCGGAAGTAAATTAAAATTTATAAGTGAATGGAAAGAAATAAAAATCACAAAGGGAAGATTTACTGTTGCTGGGAATAACACATAAGAGCCTGGAAATGGAGACAGGTCATGAAGACATCTCAGACCATGGATAAATATATATAGGCCATCGCTGTAACAGGCAAGACAAAACCTTAAAATGAAGAAAATGAATGGTATGAAATGGACTACATATGAAAAATATAATATTGAATTAATGAGTTAAAAAGCGGTAAAACTAACAAATAGATAATGGAATAAATAAATAAATTCAGGAATAAAGAACTAAATAAATAAATTAGAACGTATGGGAGAAAGCGTTGATGTTGAATAATTTGATGAAATAAAGCATTTGATCTGAACGTTGACCAATAAAGCAATTGCGTCGTTAAACTGTACTTTACGCGTAAAAGATCACCCGTTGATGTGGTTGTAAGAGAACACCAAACTAGGAAGAGCAGTTAGCGGGAGAAGAATAGTATTCGTTTGGATAGGCTGGACACGTGTTTCGTCCCTACTACCGGGGACTCATCAGCGGCCCGCGACCTACCTATCAGACTAGTTATCGCAGTTTCTTATATAGCCCGTGTCAATTATAACGTGTTTCATTGCTTCGCTCTTCTTTTTTCTAGTAGAGCGTATAATGGGAGAGAAACAGTGGCGGATCTAGACATCTTTGACGTGGACCAACATTTGGAGTAATTTGGTTCTAATTAGTATACTTATTCCATGAAAACTATGCGTTTTACTGACATTTAATACAAATAATGCTCACAAAGAAGGGGGGCAGTGGCTCTTCCAGAATCTTTTAGATCCACCACTGAAGAGATATGATAGGGCATTTCTAGTTTAAAATTCCATGTAACGGAATGTTACATCAAGCTAAACTAAAAGTTTAAGGCAAGACAGTGACAGAAAAAGCGAAGTATTCGTGTGGACAGCTGTTTCAAAGACAAACAATTCACAACGGAGACACACTAACGTCGCCATTTTGTAAATAATCATTGATAGCATAATAGCCATGCTTCTTTAACAAATTAATTCTGTTGACCAGCTGATGATCATGGTAAAAAAACAGCTACCAGTTGGAGCCGGTCAGTTGTGAGACAAAATGTGGCGGCATCAATATAATTATCACAAAATAGCCATTTATCTTATCTTCCGGGTTAAGCTATTTGTACGATTAAATATCTCCTATCAGTTGCAAATATACAAAATATAATATAGATAATTAGATATGATAGGCATATAGGAGGTGGCCAATCGTTTGTTAGGCTAGGCTTTGAGAGAATGGTCACCTACCTGTTATTTAACTGTTTAACTTCATGGAAAATACTTACAGAAAGCTTTGAAATAATGGGTTGTTAAGTCGGAAATATATCCTGGTTGACAGTTTTGTGGCAATTTTAAAACCTTCTAACAATAATTAAACTCGGCACTCATTACAAATACAATAATGAAAAAAATTAGATTAGGGTTAGGGCTAAGATATATGGCATCTTACCTCTAGAAAAAATTTCCAGTTTTGCTTAAATAATGAAATAAATCGATAAAAGTGTTCAACTTTATTCTGTGTACTTTATTACCTCAAGTTGCGATAATCAAGTTAACCACAGTTTCATGGATAGCGCTATAGAAATTTTATTAAGTACGGCTTGTTTCCGGTATTTTTTACTGATGTTTGTTTTAATTTAATTCAATTTTCACATTTTTGTTTGGTAAGTTGCCACTTTTTAACAATTTTATGACCATTTTTCATACAAAAAATTGTTTCAATTTAAAAGTCAAACGCCGTGTCTCTTTATTGTTAATTAAAATCACCTGAAAACTACTTTACTATGAATTATTTTATTATCGCTTGGAGTCACCGACTTTTTTTAAACAAGTTCGTCACCATTTAATTAATTTTAAAACAGAAATTTGAATTTCCAGTAAATTTAAAGATGGCGCGCGACAACAGCAGGTCTACGGACGGCGACTACTCGGACAACGACTTCGATGACGACCAAGATATTTCCATGAGATTCTTTGCCACAGATAAAGTTGGCCATTTTTAATTTTTATTTATTAAATTTAAAAAAAATAATCTTTTAATAACTTTTGTTTATCTTAATTAATAAAATTTCAAAATTACAATTATTAAAAATAATTAATTAAAAAAGTAATCACTAATTCTTGTTGTACTTCTTAAATATTATTAAATAAATCAATAAATGCATGAATAAGCTTACTTAGCAATATAACATTGAATAGAAAAAAAACCTAAAACAAAGGCTAATAATGTTTTTGTTTAGTCTAGAGTTTTTTGCTTTAGTTATGAAAATTAAAGTTTAACCACATTTGCATTTCATTATAAATAAAACTTTCAGCTTCTTTTTATAGTCAACTAAAATAAAACTAAATTAAAAAAACTTTATTTTTGGTTCACTAGGAAGTGGGCTGCATCATTGGAAAGGTTGGTCCTCGTTTTGGACTTTACTTAATTTACTTTATTGAACTTTTTCCTATAAAAAGAAACTTAAAATTGTGTTTTATATGGTTTTCATTATATTTAAGTTTTATTTGCTCTAAGTTTAATTTAATTCGAACTTTTATTTTGTCGTTAATTTAATTTTTCGCAGAAAGGTGACAACATTAAAGCACTTAGAAATGAGGTAGTGGCACATTTCTTCTTTATAATAAATCATTATTTTATAATTATTTAAATTTTTGGGGCCAAATCTTAAACTAATTTGTGATTCAACTTTGCTATGCAGAGTGGGGCAAAGATACAGATATCAGATGGATCTCTATCGGAACGCATCGTAACGATTCGTGGCACGGCTTCACAAGTCATCAGAGCTATTAATTTGATAGGCATCAAACTCGAGGAGGTTATTTATGTTGTCTTTTTTTATTTTGTCGTTGTTGCTATTTATGATCTTTCTGAAATAGTTATCATTAGTTATGTTTTAGCAAAAAAAGAGCCCAGTATTCGTTTGATTTTTAAACTTTTTTTAAATTTTCACTCCTTAGGATAATAATCACTCTAATTATTTAGAAGAAGATGATTCTTTATCCTTTCGCCTAATTGTCCCTAACTCGAATTGTGGCTCTCTGATTGGCAGGAATGGGGCCAACATCAAAGAGTTAAGAGAGGTGCAAGTGTTATGAGATGGCTGTGATAATATGTTTCATGTAAATTTTAGTTAAAAGTTGAAGCCCTCTGTTAATGTAAGACTGATTCTGAAACTTGAAATGTTTTTTTTTTGTATCAGCATTTAACTCATCTTTATTTTCTTACTTTAATGATCTTTGGTTTTTCACTCCTTTGCATTCCTCATCATTTTTTCATCTTCAAATTTTTTCTCATTTTCTCAATTTTTTATTCTACCCAAACATTCATTCACTCCTTTACTCACCTGTGATCGACAGAGGACAGGCTCAAAGATCCAGGTAGCGAATGACTTGTTGCCTGACTCAACCGAGCGTGAAGTTGGCCTCTCTGGCTCGATGTCAGGGGTCATGGACTGCGTTAAGAAGCTGGCCAAGATCGCTATTGAGGTTTCTGTATAGGCTGTTGTATAGTTTTTTATTTGTGTGTTTGTTTGTGTGTTTGCTTGCTTGTTTGTTTGTGTGTCCAGTGCAAGGTTTGTGGGTGTTCTCTCTAATAAATGCAAAAATGTAAATTTTTTTAAAAAGTTCTTTTGAGTGAAGAGGATTGAATTTGATAATTTTTTGGTGGTTTTTTTTCCAGTTGTCACCCTGATTTTGATCTTTATTTTTTTTTTATCCACCACCTCTTACCATTCATTACTTCACATTTAGTACCATCAGTCAAAACTTCGTTGTCACCGTCTATTTCCACCACCATCACATTTTCCATTGACACATCACACCACCACCACTACAAGACAAAACCTCGTAGCCCTCATGTCCCGTACAATCCATCATATTCTGGAGGGGGTGGCAGCGGTTACGACGGCTACAGTGGGGGTGTGGGGGCTGGCAGGAAAGGTGCTGGCAGTGGCAGGGGGAGATTTGATGGAGGGGTACGTTTTTTTTTGTTTTTTTTTTTTTTGTTTTGAAAAGTATGGTTAGATGATGCTTTGGGAATTGGGGGTAGGGTTTTTGAATCGATGAACAGCCTCCGGTGTTGCAGTCTGCGACATCATGTTCTTTGGGGTGTTAACGTTTTTTAGTTTTTTTTGCTTATTTTTTAATGTTTTTTTAGGGGGTGATATGCTAACCCTCAACTTTACTGTGTTATCATTTTTGTGTGATGGCAGCCATTATTATTATTATTACTGTTGTTGTAATCATCATCACTTATGTTATCATCATCATTATTGTTGTTGTTGTTGTTATTATTGTTATTACCATCGTAACTGTCACTCTCATTATGGTTATTTTGTTTTAAATTTTCTAATTATAACAGTTATTGTTATCATTTTGTTGTAATTATTGATGTTATTGTTATTATTATTATTGTTATTATTATTGTTATTTTCCTCAGCCACTTTTGCTGGTATGATTATTATTAGTTTTTTATTATTATTATTATTATTCAAAACGCTCTGTGTAGAAGCAGAACAGTCATGATGACGATTTCAAGAAGGCCTTCAAACAACCACAGCAGCAGCAGCAGCAGCAGGACTTCTTAAGTAGACCTAAAAGTATATTCGTCCGTTTGTCCATCTCTCTCTCTCTCTCTCTCTCTCTCTCTCTCTCTCTCTCTCTCTCTCTCTCTCTCTCTCTATCTATCTATCCATCCATCCATCCATCTATCTATTCATCCATCCATCCATCTATCTATCTATACATCTCTCTGACACTCAATCTGTATCTGTCTATCTATGTATATATCTACCATCCATCAATTATTCATTCACTCATTGTTTCATTCTTTCGCTAATTCATTCATTCATTCTTTCTTTCTTTCTTTCTTTCACATGCATACATTCACTGATTTGTTCGTTGATTCAATCATTTCATCATTGACTCTTGTTAATTCACTCATCCATTTGTTTATTCATTTATTCAGTTTCTTCATTCATTCACTCACTTTTCTACTCCATTAATTAATTCATTCATCCATTCACTCATTCGTTCACTCCACCCATCCATTTATTCATTTCTTCATTCATCTGCTGATGATTGGCAGATAGTGGCCTAACGACAGAGGAGCTGATCATACCGAACGACCTGGTGGGGATCATCATCGGGAAAAGTGGTAACAAGATTAATGAGATTAGGTAAGTGAGTGAGTGAGTGAGTGAGTGAGTGTAAGTGAGTGAGTGAGTTGAGGGTGTGAGTGAGTGTGAGTTGAGTGAGTGAGTGAGTTGAGTGAGCGAGTGGGTGAGTGTGAGTGAGTGAGTTGAGGGTGTGTGAAATGAGTTAATGAACGAGTTGAAATCAGAGAGAAAGAGAGAGAGAGAGAGAGTAGAGAAATAATGAGAGAGAGTGAGAGAGAGGGGCTAATTTCTTTAAAAATATGAATTCATTAATTAAAGATCTTTTTTTTAATCTAATAATTCAATACAATTACTACTAATAATAATAATAATAATAATTTTATTTGAGAAAAATGTACAGCAGAAGGTCAGGGTTCAATCGTGTGTGCAGGCCACCTTAACTAAATAGTGGAATAGAAGAATGATATTGAATAATCATCTAAATCAATAAATATGTCGAATTAATTGGAAATGGTAGTGAATTTCTAATAGAAGATAGGTTACACATAAATGAATAAATAAAACATAGATACAAAAAAATATGAATGAAGCAAGTTCGCCATGTAACACTACTTAAAAAATACACTATTACAATTTACAATACACTATTTAAAAAAAAATCATTTGAACGAATCAACTGATGAATGAAAGATTTTAATAAATTTAAGGGGGATAGAGTTTTGATAGATCTCATAAATGCATTGAAAGAACAGAATTGATTGGGAAAAAATTGATCTGGGCTTGAATAGATAAAAATCGGAATTATGCCTTGAAAGTCTGGTGGTTACTAAATACAACAAGCAGATAAGTAGTTGCCAGCTATAAATAGTTAATTGGTTGTTTCTATCATTTATCTATCTATCCATCTATCTATCTTTTTATCTATCTATCTATTCATATATCTTTATATCTATATATCTATCTATCCATAGATATAAATGTAAAATTATCTACCTAACTATCTACCCATCTTTCGTCTGAGTTTATTTTTACCTACATATTTTTATCCATCCATATATCAATCCATCGTCCATCAGATAAGTATCTGTCCACCAAAATTCAGTACTCAATTATTCATTCATTCATTCGTGCATTTCTTCTCTCAATCCACTAAGGCAAAACTCCGGGGCCCAGATAAAGATTATCGAGTGTGAGGACGGCTCGGACAACCGTCGTTTCGTCATCACCGGGCCCAGAGGTAACGTTCAGTCCGCCATCTATCTCATACAGAATGCTAAAAATAGAAGACGGGCCCTGGCCAATAAGGTTGCAGCGATTGTCGATTGACTGTATGATCGATTGGTTGACCGGCTGGTTGATTGGTTGACGGGTTGATTGATGGGTTGATTGACTGGAGGATTGATTGATGGGTTGATTGACTGGAGGATTGATTGATTGACCGGCTGGTTGATCGATTGATTGATTGATTGACTGGATGATTGATTGGTCGACGGATTGATTGATTGATTGATCGGTTGATTGATTGATTGACAAGATGATTGAATAATTAATTAGATGAGTGATTTATAGATTGAGTATTATTGATTGACCGAATACATTTTTGAATACATGAATATTGATAGACAGCTTGAATGATAATCATGGCTTTTAAATTAGCAAATAACATTGGAGTGATAAATTGATTGATCGATTAATTAATTGATTAATTAATTGGATGGTTAAATAATGAATGTCTAATTATAATTTCACTGTTAGCAACAGCATCATGATTAGAAAGGAAAGTGTTGAAGACCTCTATCTCATCGTCGTCGTCGCCGTTGCATCTATGATGATGATGTTGGTGGTGATGATGAAAACTGGAGATGATGATTTCATCCCCAGTCTCCATCATCATCAGTGTCTCCTCCATCACCATCATCAGCGTCTCCATCATCATTTTGTCCATCAACTTCATACCGGATGGTTATTGTTATTATTAGAGTCACTTTGGTAGCCATCGTCATCATCTTAATTATCATCGTTTTCATTACCATACCTTGTTATCATTCTTGTATAATAATCATAATTTTCATAATCATTTATTTCTTTCTTCATTCATTCATTCATTCATTGGCTCCCTCCTCCATCATTCATGCATTCATTCATTCATTGGTTCCCTCCATCATTCATGCATTCAGTCACTCATTCATTCATTCATTCATGCATTCATTTGATTTGGAGGTCAGTAAATACTTATCAAAGTAGAACGTAATGAGTGTGTGAGAACTAAGTACTATATATATATATACATATATATATATATATATATATATATATATATATGTTGTTATTATTATTATTGTTTTGGTGGGTTGTGAATGATGTAGCGAGAGGAGCTCATTTCTTTACTACCATAACTACTACTTTTGGAGTAAGTAATATATAATTATTATGAATAAAATAACGTTAATAATAACAACAATAATAATAATAAACAAATAATAATTATTAACAGTAATAGTTTTTTTTAAGGGTGGGCTATCCACAAAAAAATAATAATAACAATACTGCTAATTCAGTTCAACTACTGTTATTATTGTTCTCGTTCTCTTTGTTGTTATTACTATTGTTTTTTGTTATTGTTATCGGTACTGTTGTTGTTATTGTAATTTTTGTATGAATTATATATATATATATATTAATATATATATATATACAAGTATGTGTGCATATGTGTATATATATAAAAGTATGTGTATATACATGTGTGTACATGCATATATATATATATATATATATATATATTATCTTCAGGTTGGCTGACAGTTTAAACGATGTAACTTATTATTTATTTGCTGGTTTATCATCAATCTGTTTTATTATTATTATTAACTTAATTATTATTATTATTATTTACTGTTATTATTGAATATTGTTATAATTATATTCAATTATTATTAATAATAATACCTTAGAGTATTGTATGTTTGTATTTTATTAATTTTATTGTGATTATTCGACGTTTTTTGGATGCAATACCTTATGTATATGTATATATGTGTGTATGTATGCATGCAAGGATGTATGTAGGTATGTATGTATGTATACTTGTGTATTATATAAACTTTATATACATCTATATGAATAACATGTCTGTATATATTTATATATAAGCATATTCATGTATGTCTATATACATATATATACATATGTTGGTATATATATATATATACACATATATATATATATTTCTATATGCGAGTGCACACACATATATATAATATACATATATATATATATATATACATCTACATATATTCATATATATCATATGTATTCATGTCTGTACATATTCATATATATATCATATGTATTATATAACTTTCGTGTGGATGCTAACATGGAAACGAACAGACTAAAAAAAAGTTATTTAATTTTTATTATGTTTTCAATAGTAATAATAATAAATATTGTTATTGTTGATGTTGTTGTTATTTCTTTTTTATTGTTACATCCTAAACTCTGAAAAAAGACAACTATAAATTGTTATTTCTATTATTATTAATATTATTATTATTGATGTTGTTGTTATTATTATTATTATTATTATTATAGATACTGCAATTATTTTGAATAATAATAATAATATTATTATAACTAGTAAGTGCAGCTCATAGTATCATCATCATTATTATTGTTGTTATTATTATTATTATTATTTCTCTGCTGGTAAAGATATTAATATTGAATGATAGGCTGTTAGCTTACAATATATTTGATTGGAATAATTGAAATTATTTTAATGCTGATATTGTTATTAATGAATTAATTAACTAACTAATTTATTTATTTATCGGTAATTAATTAATTTAATTAGTTATTTACTATTTCATCAGCTTTTTTCCATTGAATATTTTTTGGTTCTCTTTACCTTCTTACTGATTAATAGATAAATTAATTATATCATTTAATTATTAATTATTATTTTTTTCATCTCAATTTATTTTATAACATTTGGCATAGATAAATATGGTTGTGTTATTTGTAGACATACACATATATTAATATATATATATATATAGTACTTATTATTTTATTTCCAGTTATTATTTATTTTATTATTACCGATATTTATTATAACGGTGAGCGATAATTCAAATGGTGAGCGATAATTCGAATTTTACTTAATTAAATTTTGACCTGATTCACATACTTGTCTCCATTTAGTATATATTATGATTTATAGAGTTTTGAAGGTCTGAATTTATTTTGTATTTGAAATTCTTATAATTTCTGTTGTATATCGTGTTATATCCGTTGCAATAGTTTGGTGAGTTGCGCTATCTACACATTACTTTCAACCGGCAACAGTTACATTAACGACGGCAAGTCTATCCTTCCCAGAGATGATTTTCACTCACTGCGATGCACGTGTCGACGTCTAGGAAGAGAGTTGTTATTGATGTAATAACGAAGATGACCATGAAGGTCTTGAAAGTATTCCGGAAGTTGGCGATGACGATGACGTTGTTGAAACTTTTGATGTGCAGCCGTACTACAACTCGGATCTTGCTGTCATTTTCTCGCCTGCTTTCATTTTTAACAGACCTCTCATGGGTGACGACGACGGCTGAAATTTCTACCAAGCTTTTAAACTTTTACTACTACCAAATGCAACTAATATACTCTCTGCATTCGTAATTTTATTTTCGTCGTTCCATGCCTTGCCTGCCGATATTTTCTCTGCGTTTGACAGAGTTTGATTTACAAAATAAAATAAATTAAAAAGAACAATAATAGCAACAACGATTTCAATGCAACACTGACCAACAATTTATTTTTTGATGATTTGGACGAGAAGTTCCTCCGTGAGAGCAGCCGTTTAAAATTTAACGATTAGTGATGTCAATGTTAACGCGAATATTCATCCCGAACATCAAACCAAATATGTCAGAATTTCTAGAAAAAAACAAGGACAAGAAATCGTTAATAAATAAAATTCGGTGACAGATGATACTTCATGTTTTGAGAAAACCCTTTCATTTTGAACTTGGAATGGGAGTTTGGTGCTCGTCTACCTGGATGATGACTTCAATGGCGCCTTTATTGCTGATGAGGAATTTTTCCTCCTTCTATCACTGATCAACAAGGATCAATGTCAACAACAAATATTGCTATATGTATCAAAACTATCCTACTGGTCATTCTACACCTCTTAAATTCAAAGAAAGCACTTCCTTCAAGTGCCACCAAAATCAAGAAAGGACCTATCATAATATCTACATGATCGACAGGAAGTATGTCTGATTCTAACAAATGATTAGTTATGGAAACGTAGAATTATGAAATCCAAATGATAATAATTAATTGAAAGTAACTATATAGCGCAATTTGCATTACATCATTTAGACTATTGCAGCGGATATTCATATGCATGTGTATATAAGGGTATTATTATTATTAGAGAATTTATTTATTAAGCCCTTTTACATTATATACACAAAGGCGCTTCTTGAGCCTAGTGGGATTGATGCACGAAGAAAAACGTTTTAAGTTCCTTGCAGCTAATCCCGATTGACTCAGACAGTCCGGAAAACTGTTGGACTATATAAATTATATTTATATATATATATAATATATATATGTGTGGAGGGAAGTATGTATGGGATAAAAAAAGGTCTATTCTTAGACTCAGAAGGATTAACAACACATCAAACGTTTAGGATATATATATATATTTTTATTCATTTATTTACCTGAAATCTCATTTAAATGAATTTATTATACACATGAAAAAATTAAAATATTGCAATATTATTTTCGATTAATTGATGTATGGATGGGATTATAAAACATTATGAGAAAAATTAATGTAATTATAATGGCCAAATCATAACACAGGTTTTGCGAGAAATATAACAACTCAGCCGAGAAATTTTAAAACACTTCCAAAATAATTTACAAATATTTCAAAATATTTGAAACCTTTGTCAACAACTGAACTTCTCTAAATGGATGAATGCAGTCAATTATCGTCTAATTGGTGATCATCATTATTATAATGTTGATACGTGATTAATTATTCCTTAATTCATAATGTATGAGAGTTGTATGCTAATTTATTCTAATTTATGTTTACTAGATTGTTTCATTTTTGTTTTGTCTTTGTTTATTAATAGATAAGTAATTAAGTTGAACGGTTGTTTATAAATGTACATTAGTTAATTTTGTTGTCGTTTTTAATTTATTTATTGTTTATTTCGATTTATTTTTTCAATATTATTTCTATTAATATGTAATTTGATGACAATAATAAAATTGATGATCTAGGCTTTGTCTTTATATATATATATATTATATATATATATATATATATAAATAAATAAATACATATATAAAAATTATATATGTGTCAATTTTAATAATAACAATAGTACTTTGTAATTTTGGGTAAATATATTTCAATTTTTATTAAAGGAGATGTATTTATTTTTTTGCGTGGATAAAAGTTATAATTATTAATTATTTAATTTGAAGTTCATCAACTTAATGAATGAATAATTTTTAAAATAACAATAGTGCCGTGGTGTATTTACGGCGTTATAATTATTAATTATTTGATTTTTATTATTATTACATTTATTTTTATTTCAATAATACATTGTAATGTAATAGCAATAATGCGTTGCTAAACCAAAATTGTACTTATAACATTTATTATAGTTATGTTATTTATTATATAGTTAATTATGTCAGGATATTATTTCAACTTATAATAATTATGAATTAATTATGTATATTATTTCATTTAAAATTATTTTGCTACTTATAATTACTCAATTAATTACAATAATAATATTATTATATAAGTTAGACTTTGTTGATGCTAAGTACAGAAGCGGCGATTCATTTTATATATTTTTCATGATTTGTAAAAAAAATAATAAAAATTATTCAAAATATATTAAAACGTTATTTATATTATTATAGATAATTATTAAATAATAACTTTATTTATTTATTAGAATCGTTATGTTACTTATTCATATTTAACAGTATTTTATGATGAATTAAATTTTTTATAACTCAATAAAATTTATTTATTATGTTGAACAATTTCGTTTTTAAATAAAAGTATTTAATAAAATATAATTATGTTATATATATATATATAATTATTATATATATATATATTTATAATTTATATATAATTCATATAATATATATATATAAAGCATGGGTAACAAGTGATGTCATTTAATTATCCCATCAGCTATTCAAAAAGGCAATATCTGCACCAAATACTGTTAATGTCAAAAAATATAAACAATTTAGAAATTAATTTACATTCATGAAATTAAAAACTGAAAAACAATATTTTCAACCAAAATTTGAAGAAGCAAAGAGCTGTTCTAAACAAAAACGGAAAATGATATAATGAACAGAAATACGAATAATAATAATGATATAAACAAACTAAAAGCTGACATCAATTTAATCGAGAACTCTGAAGAAATAGCCAACAATTTCAATAAATACTTCATCGTTGGTACCGAAAAGCTGTTGAAAAATCAAATAATTATAAATAAATTGAAGGTAAGGAGTGCCATTTGTAAATCGGTTTATATGGATCACGCTAAAAAAGACGGGGTAATATCCATCGTTCAAAATCTAAGTAACAAAAAGGCAATTATTTTACGGTTAAGCAACTATTTGATTAACAAAATAATTCCAGAAATAGTTTTTCCAATCACTTACATTTTCAGTTTGTCCATTACTCGAGGAATTTTTCCAAGATGCCTTAAAACATCAAAGAAAATTCATATTCACAATAAAAGGCAGCGGGTTAGAAATGTGCAATTATCGACCAATATTACTTCTTTCTCCACTTTCTAAAGGGTTAGAAAAATTTTAACCATTAATAAATTACTTAATGAAAATCAATATGATTATAGAGCACAGCACTCCACTGAGCAAGCTGTTTCATATCTAGCCCAAAATGTTATGAATAATCTCAAAAAATTCTAACCGTGAAAGTAGCTATTTATATATCTGTCCATGGCATTTGATGTTTTCAAACATGATATATGGATGAAAAAATTAGATTTAAACGGAATAAGATAAACAGCAAACATGATATATGGATGAAAAAATTAGATTTAAACGGAATAAGATAAACAGCAAAAGCGATGAACGGAGAACAGTACTTCGCTATAAAAAATGAAACTTTTACAAAGCTTACCATAAGATCAGGAGTGCCGCAGGGATCAATCTTAGGTCTCTTCCATTCTTAATCTACAGGAATGATCTTCAACTGGCCACCGATGCAAATCTTCTTCCATACGCAAATGATACTAATATCTTTTTCATACTAAAGACCCATTGCATGATCAAGAGTTTAATAACAGTCTCGAAAATATACCGACCTGGTTCATCGCTAATAAATTGATAGTAAATAATTCCAAATGCAATTACATTTTATTTGGCTTGTAAATTTTAGAAATTAATACCCGACATAGACATAAAAGTAAGCAACACAAGCATTCCCCGCACAAACAGCACTAAATTTCATTTAAGATAATTTTCATGGGATCTACATATAAACTATTTGTCTAATAAAATTAACAAGACCTTAGAAGTTATAAGTAAAATTAAATTTAAATTAAATAAGACTACAATTTTGAACTTTTGTTGATATTTCCTCATCCTACCTATTTCAGCTTGATCTGGGGAAATTGCCCGGAAGTACATTTAAAGAAGTTATTCAAATGCCAAAATCCGCCAGCCAGAATTAAATTACTTTGTTTAAGTTTAAAACATATACCGGACCAAGAATATGGAAAACACCCGTGGGACATAAAAATAGTGAATCTTTATATCTATTCAAAAATAAATTGAAGAAATATTTAGTGGCATAGGGCTCTGTTTTCAAGAAATTATGATGCTGAACATTTTAATTATGAACGAACATATTTTATTTGAAACTTTGCTATTTTTATTATTTACCTTAAGTATTTTAAATTTTCCAAATGTCTCATTAGGAGTGTAGACAATTAACTATATTAAATTTTACTATTTAAAACATAGTGACACGGTGGCCGCACACCAGGATTTATTTTCTTTTTTGATCTCCGAATCATTTCATCATCTTTTTGATTTTGATTTGATTGAATAAATTGAATCGATTTAATAATTAAATTTTGGTTTTGAACTGAAGAAACCAGAGAATGATTTAAGATCAACTTTTGGAAAAATTTAAAAACTAAACAAAGTTAACTAACGCGATCAAAAGATCAACTTTTGGAAAAATTTAAAAACTAAACAAAGTTAACTAACGCGGAACATGCTGTGATTTTCATCAATAATTGCATTTCTAATAGGCTTAATCCAATACATATGAAGATAGATATATTTCTAAATATTTTTTTATGTGTGTGCGCGCGTGTTTTAACATTGGAAGAAAAATTCTAGCATGTATATTATCACTGAATTAAAACAATGATAATTACTTAATAACGTCATTAATTAATTTTGAAATAATTAACTATTTCTTTTTTATTAAGAGAAAAGCTCAAAAATACGTTATATATATATACAATATTTATAATATATATGAAGTGATATTTGCGTATACAAAATACACTCATACAGGGTATCAATCCAACACTAGTGTGTTACCAATACAATACATTATAATCGTATTTCTTCAAATGCTCACCCAGTGAACGCCAGTCAGGTAACATACAACAACAACAACACACGTTTAGACGACATTTTCCCCGAGATCGGGGGTTGCCGTTTGGCTACCTATGATGAAACCGAAATACCCCTCGACGCCATTCCATCATAAGTAATTTATTTGGCTAATTTTTACGCAGGACGCCCTTCCTTACGCAACCACAGTTATAAGCGGTGGGTCTAACCTTTGATGATCCAACATCACTCACAAGGCAGTGAGGGTCAGTTTAATGTCATAACCAGGACAATAGTCAGGTAACATAACATAACATTAATTACTATATTATATTTACTATATGTATATATGTAAATTAAATATATCAATTTTAACGATAACAATATTATTTTGCATTAGCAGAAAATTAAATTATAAAATCATATAATTATAAAAAAAAGTGGATTTTCGGGTACATGTATGCATATATATTTACTAATTTTGGGTAAATATGAATAAATTTTACTCTAATCCTAGTCCTAATCCAAAATACAGAACATATTAATTGATATCGTTCAGCAAACTAGAATATAGCATAGCATAGCTAGAATATACTAGTGACTGGTACGTTGGGTTGTGCGTGCGAAGATACAATGTTTGAGGAAGAGAGATAGAGAAGAAGAAGAAAGAAAAAAGAGAGAGAAAGATGAAGAGAAGAGAATAAAAAACAGAAAAGGTGAGAAAGGAGAAAAGAAGAAAGAGTGAAAGAAAGAAAAACGAGGCATAATTTATACACAATACAGCACCCAATACGAAGCATCATAGTTCATGTTTCCTCATGTGTTTTAGTAGTGAATGCTGCTCGGTGAACCTGACGGAGCACAGTTGGCAGTTGTAAGATTCTTCGTCGTTTCCTGTTGAATGCTGCCATCTTAGATGTTGCTTCAACATCTTCAGCGTGTGGTAAGACCTGTCGCAACAGGAGCAGATGAATTTCTGTGGTTGGAATGTTTGTTTGTTTGTTCGTTCATTCATTCGTTTGTAAGGATGTTCTACTGTCTATGTGTTTATTTGTAGCTGTCTGTATAGTGGTAGTAGTATTTGTAGTAGTTGTTTGTTTGTAGGCTGTTTTTTGTTGGTTTGCTTGTTTGTAAGGTGTTTGTCTATTTGCTGCTGTGCGGTAGAGACCCGCCGAATATTCCGTCGAAATTTGACAATGATAAACAGCTGTTTGGATTTGACAAATTTCTAGAGATGTGATCCTGATGGCTCATCTCACTCACTCACTCACTCACCTGATTATCAGACTTAATGCTGACATCATCATCTTCTTCCTCTTTATCATCATTGTTATCATCGCCACCATTATTATCATCATCATCGTCGTTATAATATTCATTATAAATATCATGAGCCACACCACTACTTGCCATGTTTCCGTCATAATCATCATCATCATCTTTGACGTCATCACCATCATCTTTTGGCTCATCACAAAAATTATCCATGTACGTAAAATTATTATTAAACGTATTATTATTATTGCAGAAATTATTATTATTTAGATTATTATTATCATTAAAATTATTATTATTTAGATTATTATTATCATTAAAATTATTATTATTTAGATTATTATTGATATTGCTATTTACGGAAGTGTTATTTTTAAAGATGACGTCACCGTGAGAAGTTCTGCCAACGTTATCAGCGTACAACACGTCACAAACTCTATTATTATTATTTTTATTATTATTACTACTACTACTACTACTATTTATATCACAAATACTATCATCATTATTTAGACTGACAGTATTATTATTAACATTATTATAACTATTTGGATTGATATTATTCATATTATTATTATCATCGTTATTATTATTATTATTATTCATATTATTATTCATATTATTATTCATATTATTATTATTACTATTATTATTATTGTTACTACTATTACTAATACCACTATTATTAACCGCTGTAGTAGTATCAGTAACATTGGTAGTATTATTTAGCTTAAGCAGGGACCTATGCCCTACAATATTTTTCACATAACTATACGTAATATTATTAATTATATTACTTTTATTATTAATAATAGTAGCAGCAGCAGCAGCAGCAGCAGCAGTAGTGGTCGCTGCAGTAGTAGCGTTAGCATTAGTGCTAGTATTTAGTACGTTGAAATGTTTTGTTGTCTGGCTTAGTACCGCAATGATATTATTATTATTATTATTACTGTTGCTGATGACGTTGTTGTTTTTGATTACGTCATCGTCATTATTGTTATTATTATTGTTATTAACGATATTATTATTACTGTTATTATTATTAGTAGTAGTATTGTTTTTATTATTATTGTTTTTATTATTAATTGCAGCGCGTCTAGGCGTTATGATTGGTTTTATAACGGTAACTTCGCCAATATCGTAGTTCAGAAAATTATTAAAGTCGCAATTATTATTATCATTACTAATTATATTTACATTATTATTATTTTTATTGATAATATTTACACTATTATTATTATTATTGTTGTTGTTGTTGTTATCGTCCGCATGTACAAGCATATGTTTCTTCAAGGACACAATGACCTTGAAGCTGCGGTCGCAGACCTCACACTGGTAGCCCCGATTGGAGAAATGAATTTTTCTGTGGTTCGCCAGGTGGCTTTTCAGCGTGAATGCCTTCGAGCAGACAGCGCAGACGTGTGGCTTGTCGCCGCTGTGTGATTTGCTATGGATCTTTAGGTTGCTACCGGAAGTGAACGATTTGTTGCAGATCTGTTTGCGTGTGTGTGTGTGTGTGTGTGTGTGGTGTGGCGCGTGTGGTGTGGCGCGTGTGTGAATGTATGTGTTGTGGCGTGTGTGTGTGTGTGTGGTGTGGCGCGTGTGTGAACGATTTGTTGCAGATCTGTTTGCGTGTGTTTGTGTGTGTGTGTGTGTGTGTGGCGCGTGTGTGAAAGTGTGTTGTGGCGCGCGTGTGTGTGTGTGGTGTGGCGCGTGTGTGAATGTGTGTGTGTGAGTGTGTGGTGTGGCGCGTGTGTGAATGTGTGTGTGTGTTTTTATTCGTGTGTTGTGCGTGTGCCGATATAAACGTAAGTTGTGTGTGTGTGTAGTTGTTTTGTGTGTGTATATGTAGTGTATATGTTTGTATGCGTAAGTTGTGCGTGACGTGTTGAGTGCGTGTGTGGTCTTATGTGTGCGTGTTTGCGTGTGTGTGTGTAGTTGTTTTGTATCTATGTGTGTGTATGGTTTGTGTTGGCATATACTTAAGTGGTGTTTGTGTTTATGTGCACGTATGAGTGCAAGTTGACTGTGCATGTTTGAATGGATATGTGTGTGTTTGTGTGTTTTTGGTCGTGTAGTTGTGTATGTAGTAATAGCAATAATCAATAATAATAATAATAATAATAATAATAATAATAATAATAAGAAGAAGAAGAAGAAGAAAAGTTCAGTGGCTAACTAGACAGACGTATGGTCGCTCCCCCGAATGCACCCTCATGTGCTTCTTCAGGTTGTTTGGTATGGGGAATGTCTTGCCACACTCGTCGCATCTGTCGTCGTGTGGTGGCGGTACATGTTTGTGTGTGTGTGTGTGTGTGTGTGTGTGTGTGTGTGTGTGTGTGTAGGCAGACATAACTGACAATCAACCAATCAACTACCAGCCAAACAACCAACCAACCTACCAATCAATAAACTGACAATCAACCAATCAACCACAAACCAACCAATGAACTGACCAACCAATCAACCACCAGCCAACCAACCAACTAACTTATACGGCCGTTCCCCTGTATGCTGGTTGATGTGCCTCTTCAATGCAGTAAAATCAGAAAAGGATTTCTGGCAGATGTTGCACTTGTGCTCCTTCTCGATCAGGTGGATTTTCAGGTGCGACTTCAAATGCGAGCTGAGTCGAAAGAACTTTCCACACTGCTCGCACGTGAAGTTGTGTTGTTTGTTGAGAGTCGCTGTCGCTGTTGTGGTTGCGGTCGGTGCTGTGGATGTCGTAGTAGTAGAAGATGCTGATGGCAGATTATACTGTTGGAGATGAGTTAATGTTTGCTGTAGTTGTTGTTTGGGATTGGCGTCTGTGTTTTTGGGATTTGTGTCATATTTGTTTTGTGTCGTTTCGGTTGAATTGGCGAAGTTTTTATCATTTTTATTGTTCTTTCCACTTTTGATGATGAACGGAGTTGCAGCGTTGGGTAGCAGGAGGAATGGAGTTATGTACGGATCATTCAGGAATGTCTCTTCCTCCACTGGCAGGAGTCTCGACTTCAAATCTTCAGCGTGCGTCCCCGACAAGTTCCGACTGTCTGTAACTGTTTTTCGTTTTCTGCCACTGCCACCTGATTTTGAGTTGGACGTTGATGATTTGGTCTTGCCTTCTAAGGGGGCATTTAAATTTAAAATGGCGGGAAATGTTTTTTTTATTAATGTGTAGTTCGTTGTATTAAATAATAATTATGGTATATTATGTTATAATTATAGTATAGACTATAGAAAAGTTACAAACATAAGATTTCAGAAGAGAGTTAAAAAGTTATTTGTTCAACAAAGCATTTAATCACACTACAATCCTCTGAAGAATGTCAATAGAGTGAATAACATAATAATAATATTATTATTATTAATAATGATAATAATAAAAGGATATACATATAACTGATAACATGATAATCTCTAAAATAAATTATAATTTGTAGGCTAAATCAACAATCCACTTTAATTTTATTCTTCTTTGAAAAATAATCTATTTTAGTTTTTGTGGCATCAATATTAGTTGTAATTTTTTAATTAATTTAATAATTAATTAATTTAAAATTAAAATGAGAATCAAAAAATGTTCTTTTATTTTTTAATTAATAATTAATAATAATTTATTATTATTAATAATAAATTAATAATAAATAAGCTAAGTAAGATTAAGTAAAAACGAGCAAAAAATGAAATAATTAATATATAAGAAAATAAAATATAATGATAACTTATTATTAAATTTTTTTTTATTAAAAACTTATTAAATATTTATATTTAATTAATTAATAATTATTAATTAATAATGAGATTTAATTTAATTGAGAGTTCTACTTTTTTTGGCACTGAAGGTTGGTTTTGAATCAAATTCTTCGGTCCAAACCTCAAGATTCATCACTAATCAAATTAGTGAAAGACCACGAATCGTGAAGAAACACTAAAATTAAATAAATAAACCGGAGGAAAAAGTGAATGCATGATTGACATAAGTTAACTTTTCGTGTAAACATTTTTATAAAAATAATCAGGTGCTATATTTTTAAATTAAATTGCTTTCTCAATAAAAATAACCTTCCCCCTATATATATTTCATTTTATATTATATACACTATAAGTTTTATTTTTTATATATACAAAATGCACATAGAGCAAAGTAGAAACAGAACACGAACACGTAAGAATAAAACACATTATTACGCTAAATTGTTTTATTTCAAAATCAAAATTTTAAAGAATGTAGGTGAAATTGTAAAATTTGAATATATTATGCTATTAATTAGCTTTAAAAAAGTGTTAATTTGAAACAAAAATGTCCAATTCTTTAAAGGATTATTTTCACCTATTTATAACAGGCAAGAAATCTGGAAAACATTGTATATTATATATAGTAGCAGTAGTAGTAGTAGTAGTGGTGGTAGCAGAATCAGCTTTTGTAGTAGTAGGAGGAGCAGCTGTAGTAGTAGCAGTAGTAGTAATACTAGTTGTAGTAGTAACAATAATAATAACGAAAGCTTACATTCCTCTTCTTCTATTTCTACCGTTGCTTTATTTTTCATCGTAAAAAATAATTTAAAATTAATTGAAATTCATTATAAGCAAATTATTTACACATCTATTAATAATGAATAATAAATTACTGCGTTATAATAGGCCCACTTATAGATAATTCTGGACGTACTATGGAAGACGATGTTGAAGCAGTCGAAAAACAAAACGAGTATATTTTACTTCTGTGCTTTACAAAAGAGAAAGTAGACGTTATTACCGGCATTTACAAGTTTTTTCAATGGCACGGAAGATGAGTACTTGACAAATTGTCAGTTTGCACGACAAAAAATCAAAAACATTCTGCATAAACTAAAGTTAGATAAAAGCCCGGGAATCGATCCCACCCATTCTAAATTTTTAAAAGAAATTTGATCGAAAATCAGTGAAATACTGTGTGTAATATTCAATAAATCAATTAGCACATGCAAGATATCTCGAGACAAGTTTACAAAAAGACGCTCGTGCTTAACAAATCTGTACGATTTTTATTCGGAGGTTTACGATAAACTAGAAGCCGAAAACTTGGTAGATCCGGATTATCTTGAATTTTCGAAAGCGTTTGACAAAGTTCCCCATAAAAGATGGGCACAGAAATTGGAATAAAAGGTAGAGTACTCAGATGGATCCCAAATTGGTTATCCGATAGACGACAAAAGTGATCATACGAGAAAACTCTTCAAATTGGAAAAACGTTACTAGTTACCATGGACCAGTCCTGGAATCACTACTATTCATCCTGCACATAAACGATATCGAGTGTGGAATAACTTTTAGGTTATCTCCAAGTTTGCCGTTAATACAAAATTAAGCGCCGTGGTAAATAATGCTTACGATGTGGCCTTGCTGAAAAATGACTTGGAAAACTATATCAATGTTCGTTAGACTGCCAGATGCACTTCAATGTTGAAAAGTGTGCAGTCATGCATCTCGGAAAAAAAACCAGAAGGCTCAACTGACACTAAGTGGGAATGATCTTAGGTCAACTACGGAAGAACGTGACTTGGTGTTTTTATTACCCAAGATTGTAAGCCATCAAGACAGTGTCAAGAAGCTGCTAAAAAAAAGCCACTCAAATACTTAGGACCATTGAAAGAACAAATTCAAGCAGGAAAATAACAGTAATAACAAAGTTACACAAATCCTTAGTAAGACTACATTTGGACTACTGTTTTAGTGTCACTATCTCGTAAAAGACAAAACAATTCTTAAGAAGGTTCACAAAGGGCTACAAAGATTACCACAGGACCTCGACACATGCAATACGGAAGAAGGCGTGATAAATGTGGCTTAACAGCACTGGAAAGGCGTAAAACAAGAAGAGATTTGATCCAAACTTACAAACTCATTACGTACAAAAAAGATTCATCGGCTACAAGATTTTTTAACTTGTCTCATAACAAATATACAAGTGGTCATAAACTTAAGCTTTTCAAAAAATGAATTGGACCAATGAAATAAAATTTCTTTAGTAACAAAGTTGTCAATCACAGGAACAGCTTAAATAACGGCACAGTATCAGTAAAATGGACAAATATTTTAAAAAGTGAATTGGAGTGGCTCTAAACAGGTGACTAGTCTTTGAACCACTATAATTTCTGTTATGTTATAATATACAGAGGTGTGCCAAAGGGGCTCTTTGGAACTGAAATACTCTACATTGAAAAATTCAGCAAGTTTCAATCAAGCTGAAATAAATGAAAATGTTTAAATAAATTTTGACTAGAGACTGTTGAAGGCCTTTCTTTACAGCAATAAAATTTCGTTAATTTGTGTCTAAAGAATTTGTGTTGAAAGTTTCCAATACGAAAGTCTCAAAATATATGTAAATTGACCAAAAATTAATGTCGCCATATTTTTAGAAAATTCAAACCCCCTTCCAGTACATTAAGAAGAGTTAATGTTTCGCCAAATGTTAGGATTTATTTTTAGGTAGTCGGAATCTCCATATGAAATTTGAAATAAGGAAATCTCACGTTGGTAGCAGAAGTAAAAGCACAATCCAATGATGAAGAGGATAAGAACGAAGGCGCCGAACAGAATGATGGCGACGTTCAAGAAGAAATATTTGTTCGGAGCTGTAATTATTATTATTTATAATATACTACAAGTCTACAATCATAACTCATTATAATTATAACATAATTTTGATTTATTATGATTATAATATAATTTTGTGTCTTTTGATTATAATATAATTTAAATTTATTATGATAATAATATATTTTTGATCAGAGGCGTAGCCAAGAAGTAGGTTTTAGAGCTGAAGATTCTCACACTGGGGTGGAATAAGAAGGGATGGGAAGGAATGGAATGGGAAGTTTAGTTCGGGTTAGAGTGAAATTGTAGGAAATCACTTTAAAAGTATGACCGGAAACTGTAAAGTTAACTTTTGTACAAAAGTGCTTAGTTTCTTTTAATGTGTGACAAGTAAAAAATTTCTCTCGCAAAAGACTACCCACACAATGACACAAAAATTCTGGCTACTCCACTGACAGTGATTACTTACGATATAAATAATTACAATAAATGATAATACAATTAACAATATCCATCGGTTCAGATTGTGTAATGGTTGATAAAAGCGCCTGTTGATGTCGCAATAGTTACCGGGATCGAATACAGAAAGATCCCAGCCAGTCTACCACATGCAATACATGTGTGTGTTTATGTGTGTGTGTGTTTGTGTGTGTACCTTTGTGTGTGTTTGTGTTCTGTGTGTGTGTGTGTGTGTGTGTGTGTGTGTGTGTGTGTGTGTGTGTGTGTGTGTGTGTGGGATGAGTGCGGATTCAGCGCATACACGCACGTACGTTGTGTCTGTGTATTTTTATACTTTTGAGAATTAACTAAGAGAGAATTAACAGTAACTAATTTACTATTTAATTAGTTAATAATTAATTAATATAATTATTATTAATAATGAAAAATTTTACTGTACGAAGCGTCGGTTTCTGCGTTGAGAACTGCAAATAAGAAATTCAGAAGATTTTTGACAAAAAAAATATTAATAATGATGACAATAAGAATAAAAATTATTATTATAACAACAACAATAAATATTATCGTTGTGATAATTATAACAATAATAATAACATAACAATAATAATAACATAACAATAATAATATGATGGGTGGAAGAAAAAATGGCGCGATGACTTTGTTTGCATGAACGAATGAATGAATGAATGAATGGATGGATGGATGGATGGATGGATGGATGGATGGATGGGTGGGTGGATGGATGGATGGATGATGAATAAACGAACGAACGAACGAACGAACGGATGAAGGGATTAATTAATTAATTAAAAAGTAAATAAATAAATTATTAAATAAATAATTATAAAAATGATTAGAGCCCTAACTCTACAGTACATGATGTATTATACAGTACACTCCTATCCTTGAGACCGAACAAACGTACGAACGGACAGACAGTAAGACAGACAGACATATAGACAGACGAACCGACAGACAAACTAATGATTAGATTCCTAACTATCTACTCAACTGAACGTCATGTTGAAACTCCTATCTTTGAGACCAAACGAACGAACCAACAGACAGACAAAGTATTGTGTCACTCACTCATTTTGCATTTTATTACATACAAACAAATGATTAGATAACTAACTATCTACTCTGCAGTACATCGTGTTGACACTCCTGTCCTTGAGACCGATCCAGAGAGCAGAGGTTTCCATGCCGACAACCACTCTCCTCTTGTCTGGCACCAAGTTCGTGCCGTACACCACCGCGTGTGCCATCTCTTCGTCCTTATACCTGGAATAATCATAAAGGTCAAAAGGTTAAAGGTCAATTACACTCTTCCAAAGTTCAAAGGACGCATCACACACGAAGCACGTGATAGGCGGGGATCTTTTTGTCATATTCGAACCCGATTACTGCGAAACAGCACCAGGCGACCTTAACCATTAGATCATCACATCTCTCATATTTAACGTGTACGGTATTGACTGGAATTTGAAACTTTTAAACTTAATTTATAATTATATTTATTTATTATTTATTTTTTATTATTTTCCTTTTTAATAGCAACGAAATAATTAAGAAGGTTGAAAAACTTAATAAAATGCAAAATGAGTGAGTGACACAATACTCGATACTACCGATCGACTAGGCATACACACACACACACACACACACACACACACACACACACACACACACACACACACACACACACACACACACACATACCACAGCGTTTTTTACGCTTTTTAGTTTAGAACTAAATCTTTTCAACTTCCTCAATGACGAGCGATTTTATGATCTATTTCCAATTTTTTGGAATTCATAAACATTATTTAAACATTACTTTTACACGTTTTTTTTTATACAATTTCATTTACAAGATGTAAAAATAAAAAGCCGTTTATCCTCAGTGTAATAGTCAGAGCTGTAAAACCAATTTTAAAAAAATCTAGGTTTTAAAAAAACCTGAGTTTTTTAAAATGTTGAAACTTTAAACTTTTTAAAAAAATTCAAAAAACAAAAATTTCATAAATAATTTCATTATCCAATTTTGATTATTGAAATAAAAAGTTTGACAGTGAGAGATTTTTCATATTAAATTTAAGGATATGATTTCAATTAGGCCAATGAGGAATGAATGAATGCTCTGAAACTGAAAGTGAAAATAAAAGTGTGGAAATTGAAATTTGACAATTTTTTAGAAGAGTTTTTTATAAAATAATTTTTTTAAATGTACTTTTTATCATTACTTTTGGTTAAAATAGCAATATAAATTTTTCAATTAAGTCTTGTGAACTATGAGATGAAATTTTTTTTGATCACTTTATAAAATCTAAAAACAACCTATAAACCTTCAAATAACTAATAAAAACCTTAAAAACCTAAAAAAAAACCTGTAAACCTAAGAAAAAAACCTAGGTTTTTAACAGCTCTGTTACCAGTGTCCAAATTCAGTGCTGGATCCAAAATTTTTCGGTTGTGGGAATGATTTCAAAATTATAAACTTGATGACCTATTTCTTGTTAATGTCTGTTTATTTTATTACTATATTATACACGGAGTCTTCAATATTTTTTTCTTTCATAGTCTTTCATAGTCCCGCACCCCCCCCCCCTTCGATCGATTCGCCACCGTTCAGTTAACAACAATCAACAACAACAATAACACCAACAACAATCAACATTAGCAACAACAATAGGAGGTAAAATCAGAAATGAAAGTATAAAAAACTTTGGTAAAGAGAAAAAGACACTCGCCCTATGCTAGTCCACCTATCGTCAGTCGGTTGCTGGCCGGTACACTTCCAATGCGAGCCCGTCGACACGAACCGCACATCACTGAAAATCATCAGACGGGGGTGTCTGCCTGAAATTAGGGAAAAAATAAAAAACTTTGGTAAACTTAGTTGCTCTCTTATTTATTCCCTTTCTCTATCTTAACCGTTGTGTGTGTGCGTGTGTGCGTGTGTATGTGTAATTATTATTTCTTTGGAGAGATTAGTGTGCGTGCGTGTGTGTAATTATTATTTGTTTGAGGTATTTAGTATGTGTCTGTGGTGTTTGTGTGTGTGTGCGTGTATATGTGTGTGTGCGTGTATATGTGTGTGTGTGTGCGTGTATATGTGTGTGTGTGTAATTGTCATTTCATTGGATGAGTTACCTTTGAACTGATTCCTGACCTTTGCCGCAAAAACTTGTTTTTTACCCTTCAGAATGAACGAATGAAAGAAGGAATAAATGGAGAAATGAATGAATGAACGAATGAACGAACAAACGAACGAACAAATGATCAAAAAATATAATCAATATGAACAACTAAGAGGAGCATTTCATGAGCGAACAAATGAACAACTAAAAAAATGAATGAATGAACAAACGAATGAATGAATTAAAGATTGATTGATTGAATGAAGAAATGAATAAATGAACGAAAGATCGAAGTAAAAAAGTAAAAATACGAATTAACTTTTATTTCAACTTTCTCTCCTTCGTAAGTTGTCGTGGACTTGTTGAGTCTCATCTGACGTCCGTCAACGTAGAGAGCCAACTCACTGTCAGCTGTTATCGACAGGTAGGTCCCTTCGTTAATTAATTATCATATTTAAATTATAATATAATTAACAATTATTAATAATTATAATGTAATTAATAATTATTAATAATTATATTATAATTAAAATTCGAATGAACGGATGAGTGAACAATGAGTGAACAAATGAATGAATGAGTTTTACAAGCAATTGAATGCATGAGTAAATGAATGAGTGAATAAGTGAGAGAGTGAGTGAGTGAATGAATGAATGAATGAATGAATGAATGAATGAATGAATGAATGAATGAATGAATGCATGAATGAATGAATGAATGAAAAAATAAATACACTATACAATAATTCGAATTATTAATTATAACAGTATAAATTAATAATAAATTATGTTGATTGATATTGACACCATTCATGCATTCATTCATTCGATCCCTCATTCATTCACTCACTCATTCATTCATTCACCACTCATTCACTCAGGCATTCCATCAAACCATCACCTCTTGCGTAAAAAATCAGAAAAACGTTTGCTGATAGAAAGTGCTGGATCGACAGCATTACTATTGTTTTTATTATTATTATTATTGTTATTTGTATTATTATAAATATTATTCATAAACAAAAAATTTAATATTATTATTATTTAGATTAAATAGGATTTTATAATTATTTCATTATTAATATTTTGGTATTTGGAGTTAGAAAATAAAAGGATGTTCCCATTATTATTAGTATTATTATTATTATTTTTTTTTTTATTATTATTATTATAAAGGTTAAAGGTTTAAGGGTTAAAGGTTTAACAAATCTTCGTTAATAATAAAAAATGTAAATTTTTATTATTATTATTATAAAGGTTAAAGGTTTAAGGGTTAAAGGTTTAACAAATCTTCGTTAATAATAAAAAATGTAAATTTCTAGACAGACGATAATGGTGCGAGAAAATACCGCGTGTTTCTAAAAAGTATGGAGATATGCTTGATTAGGAAATTGTTGTTTATGTTTATGTTTACTTTTGCTCTATTGGTTCTATGCTATATTATATCAATGTTTGTTAGTTATTGTTAATATTAGTAGTAGTAGTAGTAGTCGTGGTAGTAGTAGTAGCTGTAGTTGTTGTAGTTGTAGAAGTCGTAATAGTAGTAGAAGTAGTGGTAGTAGTTGTAGTAGTAGTGGTAGTAGTAGTAGTGGTAGTAGTAGTAGCTGTAGTTGTTGTAGTTGTAGAAGTCGTAGTAGTAGTAGCTGTAGTTGTTGTAGTTGTAGAAGTCGTAATAGTAGTAGAAGTAGTGGTAGTAGTTGTAGTAGTAGTGGTAGTAGTAGTAGTAGTAGTAGTAGTAGTAAAAGTAAGTTTGTTATTATTGTTATTATTATTATTATTACTATTACTAATATTGTGATATTATTTATAAATTATAATTTTATTCTTGTAAATATTTTTTTCTGTTTTCATTTTCATTTATTTTCATCGTTTCTTCGTCTCCATTGCCTTTTGAGTTTTCCATAGATTTGTTGTTCTTTGCTTCCGCTAATTCAATGGAAGTTTTTTAAATTCTTTAATTTAAATAATTAATTAATTTTATTATTTAAACTCGGCGTTTTATTAATAGTATTTATAATATTAATAATATTATTATTAATAATATTATTACTAATTATAATTAGTAACAACAACAATATAATAATATTATTAATAAATATAAAAACAAAAAAGTCTAAAATAATATTAATAATAATGACAAAAACTATAATAACAATAATAATAATAATAATTATTATTATTTATTTATTTAAATATATTTAAAATGTATCTTACCGACCGTCATTTTTTTCTTTATCTTCTCCTGTTTAAAAAGATCATTTTAGCCATTTATTAACATTAGCGTGAATTATTATTATCATCATTTTTTTAATTCTCATTATTTATCATCATTATTATTATTATTGTTGTTGTGATTGTTATTATTGTTGCTGTTGTTGTTGTTTTGTTGTTATTATTATTGTTGTTGTTTTTTGTTTTTGTTCATGCTGTTGTTGTTGTTATAGTTGTTTATGTTTATGTTGTTGTTGTTCATGTTGTTGTTGTTGTAATAAAAAAATTACACTAATAAAAATACCCCCTTTACGAATGAAGATGCAGATTCCACAGGCAAGGACAAAAACTCCGAGAACCACACTAAGGCTTATGAAGGTAATCATCGACTTTCCTAATTATAATAAAATTTATTATTTGTAATTATAATTATTGAAAATAATTATAAGTAATTATTTGTAGTTATAATCAATAATAGTTATCATTGTAGTAATAATCAATAAATATTATTATTGTAGTTATAATCAATAATAATTATTTTTGTAGTTATAATCAATAAATATTATTACTGTTGTTATAATCAATAATAATTATTATTGTAGTTATAATCAATAAATATTATTATTGTAGTTATAATCAATAATAATAATTATTTATTACATTACTGTATTATTGTTAATGCTATTGCTGTCGTTAATGTCGTTAATGTTGTTACTATTGTTATTTTTATTATTATTTTTATTAATTTACTTCTTTCACTGACTGGGTCAACAGTTGTGTGTCTAATCTGTCCTTCATAATTTGAAATTAATATTTATCATTCAAATATTGCGAGCACTGACAAGCGTACCTACACACACACACACACACACACACACACACACACACACACACACACACACAAACAAACAAACACACACACAAACACGCACACACAAATATATATATATATATATATATACGATATAAGAAATAAGTTGAAAGGGGGGGTTTGGAACTGAAGACACTCGATAGAAAGTTTTGGTAGGGTCATAGCTAAATTAACCGAAAATCTGGCCAGGTTCACCAAATGATGGGAACTTGAATTAGAAGACGTCGAAGTTTTTTATAATGTCGGCAGCGTGAGGTATCAACATCTGACATTGTCAACCACCTGAAATCGACCAACATGCAGACGGGATCCTCTCTTCCTCTGTTTTGTAAAAGAGAATTCTAGTGTAAGACCTGATGAAAATCTGTCGTCAACTTCTTTTCATTGTGTTGTCAGCAAATTTTTGGATTCGATCGTCAGTGTAGCTTCCTGGCCGGTGTTTCTCCGGACCAGGGAGGGGATATTCAGCAGCAGTACCAATTCAAGTGGTATCTTTCCATCAACAACCAGAGAAGGAAAAGAACGGCAGAAGTCCGACTATTTATTCAAATTTCTTTAAGAGTTAGTCTTTGAGATTTCGCATTGGAATTTGATGACATTTGGTTTATGATAATTTTTCTCTATGTTGTACGAGAGCGCCTGTGAGAATATTAAATATTATACTGGACGATATATATACAAGTGTTTCAAACAATGAAAAAAATAACACGCGCACACACGCGCGCACACGCGCGCACACTAACTGTCAATTCTACAGAATACTAGCTCTGCGCTAGGATTGGCAACACTAATCCATTTTGCCGTTATTGGGAAACTTTTCAGGATTGGTTCGCTTAGGTTTTTCTTCTTATTTTCTGCGTGTGTTGTTGCTACTTCCATGTTTAGGTGGCCGGGACTGTGTGTGTGTTTTTGGTGTGTTTTTGGTTTGTTTGTATGCATGCATGTGTGTTGTATGCGCCTGGATATGTGTATGTACGTGTTTATTTGTGTTTATGTGTGTATTATTGTAGTGGTTATATGCGTGTGTGTAGTGTGTGTATTATTGAGGTATGCATACAGATGTGTATGTGTTAATGTGTATTTATATGTGCATATATAAAATAAATATATATATACGTGTGTGTGTGTGTGCGCGGTGTGTGTGGTGTGTGTGTGCGCGCGTGTATGTGTGTGTGTATGTGGTGTGTGTGGCTGACAGAAATAATAATAAAAATACTCTCTAGCCATCCAATCCTTTCCAGGAAGATCCTCGCTGCAGCGCCAGTTAGGGCCTGATCTGCTGGGCCTCATTTCATTATTATTATTATATTTTCATTATTATATTATATTTATAATTATTATTATTATTATTATTATTATTATTGTTATTATTACTGTTATTAATATTATTGTTATTATCATTATTATTTTCCTCATCATCCTCATTATTATTATAATTACTGTTATTAACAATAATAATAATAATATTATTATTAGCTCGTCATATGGAATTTTTTGCGACAGAAACATTGCCTAATGCTATTTTAAATATAACTTACACCCATGTACTTGTCACTGGCAATGAGGATGGGTGGATCGTACATTTGATTATTTTTATTCTATTGATTATTTTTATACTATTCATTTTAACATTTTAGTTACAATTTATTATTTTAATATCTTATAGTTTCATTGTGTCAATTGGATAAATAAAATATGTTCACATTATTGTTGTTATTATAATAATAATAATAATAATAATGACCTGTAGAAGCTATCGTCAGACCATATCATCATCTTGGCTAGTCTCTTGTGCGTGTTCTCGATCATCACCGCTATGTTCGCCGCACCCCCCTTGTTATTATTTATATTATGATTGTTATTATGATTATTATGATTATGATTTTATTATCATTATTATTATAATGTTGTTGTTGTTGTATGGCACGAGAGTTGGTCAACTGTTGTTCAACTCATCACTCACTGTTTTTAGCTATAATCTTACCTTACATTGGAGTAGTTGATTGGTTTTAAAATTAGTTCAGCGTTTTTGTGAAAATGCGGAGAGTATGGCAATGTAGTTTTCTGAATGTAGTTTTCTGAATGTAGTTTTTGATTAAGTTTTAAATTTAATTTTGATTTTTGTAATAAATGATATTCATAGTGTAAATTCTAATAAATATCCGTACTGCGATAAAACATTTGAAAATGTTGAACCCCACCCCTGAAGGTGCAATAGGAATACAGCTTGTTCGCCCAACTGTCGAGTCAAACGTCTCCGAACATTTACAACTCAAGTTCTGTTGATAATGACGTTTATGTCGTATTAATTTCTGAACGCTTTCGGTGTTGTTGGCGATAACTGCTCTGCCGTCAGAAAATTCTAGTCACGCTCTATCTTTAAAATGGTAGGGTGATTCTGGCTGTGGGGCCCCAAGTATAACCACAGGGTGATACTCGGGCTTTTTAAGTATTTTCTATTAGGGGTTTAAACAGAGGTTGGAAAGCAGTGACATTGTTCTAGGAATGCTCTGTCAGTTAAAAATTTAGGGGCAACTTTCTTAATGCATTTAAAAACCGTTAAACATATTTTGAAAATAACTTTGATAAACCGAAAGCCAGTGAAGAGCAAAAATAATTGGCTTAACGTGATCGTATCTAAAGCCACCTGAAACTAAGCTTGCAGCCCAATTTTGAACCGACTGCAGTCTAGACATATTTACACCAGACAGGCCGTGATATAGACTAATGCAATGGTCTATTTTGAGTGGATAAATGAATGAACGAGACATTGAAGGGTATGCTCGCTTAAAGATCCTTTGATGCGTCTATAAGCCTACGCAATTGTCCAGAGCATTATTTTTTCGAAACTGCCCTTGTGTGAACCTTAAAAGAAAGACATGTTACTATCAGAAACAAATCCCAGGTTGCGTGCAGATGTGCAAAATTCAATGTCAAAATCACTAAATCTGATAGACTCAATTCATTTTTTCCAATGCTGCCTAGTGCCAACCGGTAAAAACTGAGTCTTTGATTGATTCAATCGAAGCCTACTTGCCATTATTCACCACTCATTAATTTCCAAGAGGCATGGTCTGAGTCTACAGACAAGATTGTCAAAACGACAAAGGAGAACACTAGCAATGATCTGAATATCATCAGCAAAACCGTGATGTTTGAAATTATATTTGTAAATGATTTTGAAGACATCTGCAGTGTACAACACAAACAGGGAGGGGCTGAGAACTCACATGAAGAACTCACACCCTTTTAAAGACGAACTGAGCTGGACAACTATTGCTTCAAAGAAAAAACGTCCAACACCAATCGCAATAGGGGCCAAGCAACCAGGGTCATGCAAATTGTCAGCAGGGAGGTTGGTATTAATGTCTGTCAATAATGAAGTTAGTAGAACCACGCACTGACTTGTCTCTTTTGTATTATTTGCCGCCATTGAGAAGAGATTTGGATGTCCCGTTGACGATTTCGGAAGTATGTTCTAAGCTGGTTGGCTCCTCCTGGAGATGAACGCTGGCATTCATTTATATAAATAAATTGTTTTTAAAAAACACTTCGGTTGGTTAAACCTCAAAAGTTTTCAGACGTTGTTTTCTGTTGAATTTGATTAATAACTTTCATTAATATGATTTATTTTATATAAATGTTGAGTTTAAAACCGCGGTGGTTTTTTCAGAAATTTTTTTTTGACACAATTTTTAAATTTAAACGTTGCTTCTAATTTTATCTTGAAGTGTGCTTCAAATTTTTATTATAAAACAATATTTTTACTTTTTTGTGACAGAAAGTGGTCATTTCAATATCTTTAAAAAGTAATTAAAAAGTAATTTAAAGATCTTTATTCTGAAAAGCCCTGGCGAACATTTTAAAATTTAAGTGTGCTTACAAACAGTGCATTTATATAAATGAATCGAACCAGACCTAAACTTTTCAATTGATAATCATTAATTATTAAATAATTATTAATTATTATTATTAGTTATTAAGTTATGAAACAAACAAATTGTTAACACCTTATCTAAATAGAAATATAAAATAACAAAATTTCGCGATTTTTGCTCTCTAGATTGTCGAAGTCGGTCGGAGTTGGATATTTTGGCCACATTGGGATCGGATTTCTTTTAGAGGCTGGAGTCGGATTTTTTATCCCACTCCGACTCTTGAAAAGGTTATTTACTTTTTTAAAAATAATAAATTTTTTCTGAAATTTTTTCAAGATTGTGTTTTTTAGATGTAAATATGTCCGTAGCAATAAGCAACCATCTTCAAAACTGATAATAAATACTAATAACGTGAATAAAATTACTTCTTTTCAGCATGTTGTAAAATATAAAAACGAAGTAATTTTACTAAAAAAATAAATTACATTGACTGATTTTAAATGTCCTTAGAAGAACTTTTTAATTAGTAGCGATAATAAAGTGATAAATTATGATACAAAAGTTGAAAATTTTTCTTGAATTCGGAACTCGGAGTCGGAAATTTTTACCCGGGGTCGGATTTTTTTGAGGACCCGTGCTGAAGTCGCAGTCACACTGATCTTCACTATACATCAAACTTTTTTACTATGCATGGTCTATTACATAATTTTTGGATCTGTACAATCTACAAAGTTACATATTTTCAGTGGTCCGGGTAATGGGATTTCTGGGAGCAGGGAGTGCATAAGTCTCCGGGCGCTAAGCAGAGTGGGCGCCAAAATGAGGTTGACAAAATTTTCACAAGAGTAAAAATCTTATCACAAGCAAAAAAAATTATTTATTTACCTAAACATTTTACATGTCAAAATAAACTATACAAAACATATATCTGGTCTTCAATAAAAAATATGTAACAGAAATGTAACAGAGCATTTTTTGTCAACTGTGATAACCACAGCTTAAATTTAGTAGAAATACACCCAGCTAAGCAAGATCCAATTGTCGTCACATTTTGGAATGCCGTTCTTGGGAAAATCGATCGGGTACAGAAGCGCCTACAAGATCCTGCAATGAATTTCAAGGAAGCTGCAACTGATATAGAATCTTTGGAGCAAGAATTTTTTACGTTTTGTGATAGCTTGAACCAAGCTGCTGTAGAAAACGCCAAAACAAAATGACCAACCTGGGGGATTGAGAGGTGGATAGAAGAATCAGGAGACGTAAGAGAATGCCCGGAGAACTGGCAAGAGATGCAGAACTTTTATCAGAATAAGAAATTGAAAATGATGAATGTATTTGATCGGCTTCAATATGAGATGTCAACACGTTTTTCACGACTTAAAGACCTGAATAATAAATTTGGATTTTTGCTAGACGTTAAGACTCTTCTATCTTCCACATATCAAGATGCCATTCGTCTAAATTGTACAAATTTTTCAAATTTCTTTGACACGGACATCAATGGAACTTTTCTCTGAAATTGGTGATTGCAGAATGCTGCTCAGTAACCGAATTGAAGCTTTACCAGAAAGTCCCTTGGGTCTTCTTAGTTTCATTGTGTTTTATGGAGATGACGTATTTCCGAATCTGCGAATTTCGCTACAAATTTTGTTGACAACAGCAGTTTCAATTGCAAGCTGTGAGCGATCATTTAGCAAATTGAAATTTATTTTATCATATCTGCGTGCACCAATGGGATAAGATCGTCTCAGTGATCTTGCTCTTCGACAGATTTGATCAGTTTGCGACAATAAAATCTAGAAGAATAAATCTATTGCAGACTATGTAAATTATCTTTGACAGTGACTGGATCATATGTTATAATTTGTATATTTATTTTTTTATCTTTAAATACAATGTTCTATTAAAATTTGAATTGTTTTTGTAAGCAGTAGTTTTTACAATGTTAATGTAATAAAAAAGTGATTGAACATGGAGAGGGGGGCTCTAATTTTATAATTTGTTTCCGGGCGCAAAATACCCTTGCTACGCCTCTGTGGGATCTCAACAGAATTCAACCAGCGTAAATTTAAACAGATTAATTGTAACTTTTATTTATAATTTCTATAATTATATAAATAATTAAGTAATAAAACAGAAACCCCGATGTTAATTTTATCTCCAATTCTGTAATTGTCTCTGTTTGGAAGTAGGAACTCTTTTCCATTTATATACAGTGTTAATATGTTATCACCTGTCACTATGATAAATGAACCTAAAATACAATTTTATATGAATTATAATTAACATTTTTTATTAGAACATAATTATTAGTAATAATTATTCTCCCTTGATTAATTTTCAAAAGAATCATACAACCCATCGCAAACATTATTAGTTGAACCTAGACGCGCCGGTTTACGATCGTCTTCTTGTTCTCACCTCTTCTTAACTCGTGTTAAACAATCTTTTGCTAAATCTGCATTTGCTTTTACTGGCCTTTTTTTCTGGAACTCTCTACCTCCTTCTCTGACTACTTCACCACTTACGAAGTTCAGAGCGGATCTCAAGACCCATCTGTTTGCAACATCGCGGAAATAGCGCTTTATAAACTAATTAATTGATTAATTGATTGATTGCGTATAGGAGGCGTTAAGCTCTTCGCTTTCGAAGCTGGTCACTGCAACTGACAGCACGACCAGACGCGTTGACCTTTAAACCATTAAATGACCCTGCCATTTAAACTATTCATCCCATATATCTGGATGGATTCGACATGTATGGTTCATCCTCCTCTCTCCTCCTCCTCCATCTGATTTGAGCATTCAAGAATTTAAAAGATGGTTGAGATCATACTTTTATTTTCGCATTGAACTTGTTGATTTTTCGTTAATGACATTGCTTGTATATAATTCTTTATAATTCTTTATTTATTAAACATAATTCTCTATAATTCTTTATTTATTAAACATAATTCTTTATAATGTTTTATTTATTAAACACACACACACACACGACACACACGACATATATGCCATATATATATATATATATATATATATATATATATATATATATTCTATATTATATATATATATATATATATTATATATATATAATATATATATATATATATATATATATATATATAAACAAACACATACACACACACACACACGCACACATACACACGCACACACACTGCTTGTTTTTATTTTGGAATGTGTTTGTGAGAACATGTTTTTAACGGCCGTCCCACAATTCCTATCCGATTCGATTTGATACATGTTATATATACACATTTATTTGTCGTAACGGACAGAAGGCTTTGAAGTGACCTGGTTCGAACGCGGAAGGATCTCCACCTCTCACGTACGATGTGTGAGACGAACGCGTGTTCAAGTAATACACTGTTGAGTGCTATTGGCGCCAACGTGTGTCATTTCAGCCAGTCTACTTCAATCTACTCTGCTTCAATTCTTATCAAGTTCTTGTATTAATAACTGTTCAGTTGTGTTTATTCTGGTCTGTTTGCAAAATATGGTTGGCGACTCAGCTCAGATGGTAGGAGTGCCGTATTTCGAGTTGTTGGCGACGCGATGGCCTGGTTCGAACTCCATCTGACAAACTCAAAAATTACGATGTGTCTTGTGTTTATAGTCATGTTAAAATACTCAAATTTGGGGTAATTAAGTTTAGTTTAAAATGCTTATTTAAATAAATTATAATTAAGTTTAGAAAGATTTAGCAACTTACATTCTGCTTGTTCAAATTTTTTCATTAATAAAATTGAAATTAGAAGTTTCAAAATAAATTTAATCATTTTGACGATTAGTTTGTTTAAAATTTAAAATGATGGTAGTAAAAAAATGAATGGTATGGTCAGTACAACAATGGCATAAAATTGATAGTGCGACAAAACTGTGTTATTATTGCTTAAAAAACAATTTCGGACGAATTTTGTTACAAATAGATTAATTAAATTCAATTATAAGTTATTATTATAATTTAATTAAACACAAAAATTGCATAAAATAGTCGTTTTGAGATAAATTTTTGGCAGTTTTCGTTGAAAGCGTTGAAGTTGTCATTGAATAATTAAACTCAGCGCTATAAAATTTAAAAAAGGGGAAAATTGAAATCCATTGTAACGAAATGAAAGAGATTCCTTCTTCGTTAACTTAAGATTTCAGTGAGTTTGTTAGTTAAGTTTTTTCTCCTTTATTTAATTAATTAATTGATTTATTTATTTGCATAATTTCAAAATAATTATACTTACGTAAATCAAATTATTCGCTCTAATTACTTTGATTCCGATTGAAACTTTACCATCAAAAATAATATCCGTTGGTTTTTATTTCATCATCATTCGTCATCGTCACCCATGCTCTTGTCAATTGATTTTATTGAAATTTAATAAAATTCATTGTTATAATTATTTATTTTATTTCAAGTTTATTTAAATATTTAGTTTATTTTTTTATTTAATCTTTAGTAAGATTTATATTTCTTATTCTTATTGATACATGTGTTTGTATGTATGTGTGTGTGTGTGTGTGTTTTGCTTTGTTATTGTTTGTCCTTTGTGTGGCAAGTGTGTGTGTGTGTGTGTGTTTGTGTGTGTGTCATACATGTTGTTCTTAGTTATATTTATAATAATTGTTTTAATTTCGATTTATTTTATATACTTAATAATTAAGTAATAATTTAAATTTAACATATTTGTTTATCATTATTATATAATTATATTATATTATTATTGATCATTATATTTATTGTTTTTCTGTAATAATTTACCTACATTTAACATTTATCAGTCAAATTGAATTCGTTTTATTTTATTTCAGAATAGATATTTAATTTAAGTTAATGAATATTAATTAAGTTATAAGTTATTATAATAGATACCCCAAAAAAAAAAAGAAAACGAAGACCAAAAAATAACATTTTGTTATAAGTTTAGCATCAACAATATTAAAGCGTCTATGTTTGTCAGAAAAATCTGCCCCCTTGAAAATAATTTTTTTTAAATGTCTATTTATATTTAGAAATCCAAAAAACACTATCTAGCGAATGATAATCATATTTCTGAAGTATTTACTTCAATGGAGTAAATGATAACAGTTACATGTCTGAAATTCAAGAGAAAACATTTCAATTGTTAGCAAAATTAGATAAGGACGTATGTGTGTACAGTGATGTATGTATCTATGTGTGTGTGTGTGTGTGTGTGTGTGTGTGTGTGTGTGTGTGTGTGTGTGTGTGTATGTATATTTTTATGTATGTATGTATGTGTGTGTGTGTATGTATGTATGAATGTATATTTTTATATATGTATGTGTGTGTATGTATATGTGTGTTTGTATGTATGTGTGTATGTATGCATGTTTATATGTGTGTATGTTTGTATGAATGT